CTATTAAGGATATAGCTGAACCCAGACAATCAGAACAAATAAAACAGTTAAAAATGAAAGATGGGCCCTTAAACTCGGGTAGGCTCTGATTTAGGGCCAATGCTGCAGACTCCAGTCTTTCTGCCTTGAAAAGTTCATCACTGGTTAAGCTGCCTGGAGGGCAAGGAGCAGGAGTTCCCTAGGATGGAGGTGGAGTTGGCTGCTGTGTAAGTCACACAGCCTAAAGGATTTTGTACTCCCAAATACCAGCTCTGCTGCCTGACATTCCACCAGCCTGGCTCTTTTCCTTTGTRTCCAAAGGAATTTTCCTTGTTTAAGATTTTAAGAAGTTCAGTAGCACTGTAGTCAGAAATTAGAGGGAGATGAAAAGGGAGGACAAATCCAAGCCATTTCATTATTTCAGCATTCTTCAAGCACAGCCTGTGAACGGGGATGGCTTAAGAGAGGGTCATGAGGCACCAGATGGGGTCACTGAGGATCACAGGCAGGAGAGAAGAGGATCTATTTAAACAGGAAGAGAGCAAGTATGAGTTTTTTTCTGATACGTCTTATTTGATCTCAGCAGTAACTCTGCGAGGTAAGAGATAATTGTTTTGCCCATTTTAATGATGAGAAAACTGAGGTTTAGAGTAATGGACCTAATCAGTTTCTTTTACTCTGTGTGTTCTCTTTGAGAATAATAATCCCATCATGTTGTATGACAAAGCAGGAAGCAAGTGTATCTATATTCTGACTATCACAATCTAAAAAATGATCCGACGAAAACAGGAAGAGACACGACAATGTGGTAATGATTTTGGTCTTTGAGAGGAGGGGTAAGAGATGCCTTTTTTTTGTTTTTTTTCTTCTTTTCCCTAGTTTTCTGTTTTCTATAATACACATGATTAATTTAATATCATCACCAAAAAGGCATATATTGCTTTAAAAAGGGAAGTTTTGTTTCTTGGGCTATCAACCTTCTTTCTAGTTGGGTAGAAATCTTTAAAGCATTTTATAGGAATAAAAATCGCTACTTGTAAGGATTGATTTGTCAAATAAAGCCACTAATAAACTTTTGCCATAAGTTCTTGGACCCTCTATTAGGACTGCTCTTGTTTCCCTACAGTTATACTATAAGAAAAGAAAAAGACACCAGAGATTCCACTGAAAATAAAAATTGGAAACCTGATCTCTAAGACAGTCTGAGTACATATCCCTGCATCCTGTGGAAACAAATATTCAAATTGAAGTAAGTATTCACATTATAGTCTTTTACCAAGAGGTTCCGGTGTTTTGTGCTTTCAAAATACCAAAAGAACCAACCAATTAAATAGACTTATACAGTCAATGATAGAGATGTTTTATCTACATAATGCTCACGGAGCTAAGGGGTCTTTCGGCATTGTATACACAGAGCTGGAATATAACAAATGTGGTCATTTTAAACTGTGCCCCTTCAAAATCAAAACGTCCAATTATAACGCAAAATATTTAATCAGTCAGATAATTCTTTTTTCTACTCATTTTCAAATCATAAATTTGAGTAATTTACTTTATTGATTTTACCTGATATTAAGGTGGTTTACTAAAATTTAATTGAATCTCTAAAAAAGAGGAAGAAAGAGATTTCTGGCCTGGGTTTGCTATGTGAGGGATGTGAGTTAAAAATAAATAAGCAAACAAAAACTCATATTTGTCCTTTACAGATAAATGCTCTCTTATTTCTTTTTAAAAATGTAGCTCCTTTAGGCTATGCATATTAGACTTTAATAACTTGGTTAGAAAGACCTGGCCCAGAAGAGTATTTATTAAAATGTAAATTAAACTTGCCTAAAAGAAAATATGTAGAAAAAAAATATTAAAATTCCTTGGGTTATAGAAGTTAGAGGTTTGAAACTTACGAAAATTTAAGAAAAGAACTGTTTCAGAAAAGGGAAAATGCAGATCATGGGTCACTCCTTTTGGCCCAAACTAACTTCCCTTCCTAGCTTACGTTCCCATTCACAAAGGGTGACACCATTCTTCCCAATGTGGAACTCTGGTATCATATTGAATTGCCTTTTCTCCATCCTTTGTGTCTAATGTTTTCATAGTCCACTCATTCTTTCTTTGAAATGCCTCTTGGGTTATATCTTAATTTAAATTCTCCTGATAGAGGATCTTACTACGTTAAGCCTGCATCACTACTAATAGCCTCCATAGAGGTCTTTCTGCCACCAGCCTGTAGGCCTTCAGAACTGCCTTTGCCTGTAGCTGTCAGATATCTCACATTCAGACACCACTTTCATCTTTGCTGCTCCCTGCTCAGTACCCACATCTTTTGTTGCTTCTGCATGAGATTCAGATTCCTCTCTGTGTGTGTCATGGTTGGGTCCTCCAGGTCTCTCTTTCTCTCTCATAGATATTTCTATCAGTTCAATCTTATTTTTACTGTCTCCTCAAACACATTATTCATTTAAAGTCAACCAAGTTGACCCTACTTTTTGTGCCCCTTCTTGCCCTCTTTTCGAACCTATACCGTTTTTAATCCAGCCACCATGTCGTGTCTCTTTTGCATGGAGTGCTCTCCCTCTCACTTTTGCTTTTCAAATGCCACATTTTCCATGTAGACTTCTATGATCCCTGCCACCCTATCCAAACTCCCATCCCATCTATAATCAAGATTGAATTACATGACACACTTAAACACACTCCTATTGATTTATATGTCATCCCATGTTTCTCAACCAGGGTGTTATTGGTATTTATAATGGTCCACTTCATCATGGTGCAGGGCTGTCTTACACATGGTGTGACATTTGGCATCCCTCACTCCTAGTTGCTGACACTGATGTTATGGTGACAACTCCCAATGTTCTGAATACATCTCCAAATGCTCCGAAAAGTTCTTTAGAGAAGTTACTATACCATTTATGTATTGGCTCAACAAATAATCTTTAACAGTGAATGCATATTTTAAAGAACAAATCATAGTTCCCATAGAGTTGCACAAGATATTTTAAAAGGTGGAAAGGAACATAATTAGCACTGAGGTGTTAGTCATTATTCCACTTTAGGTGTGTTTATAAGATAATTCACTGAACCCTCACACAGATCCTGATGTTGCTATTGTGAAGAAACAAGCTCAGAGAGTCCCATTTTTCCAAGGTCATATAGGTTGACTGGGATTCTGGCATTTAAGCCTGGAGTTGTTTGGAGCCAAACCTTTACCTTTTTCTTCTATCACACAGCCTCTATAAAGATAGCTTTGAAATAACACTGTGAACATGTAACCTAATTAGCAATTTAAAGTGCATTATTAATGCTGATAGGTACTAATGACTGTAATTGAAAGAAAGGACGTTAGACCAGACAAACCTTTTCTTTTCTAGAATTTATAACAAGAGTATAAATTGGAGTCTAATGAATGAATTTTCTCACTGACTGTCTTTGCTGCAAATGTTAACCCATGTTTGGTTTGTAATTGAGGTGCACATATTCTTTACTCTCTTATTGCATTCTTAATATTTGTCTGAGCAGATGATCAACAGATCTTTCTACATTTTAATTATTCAAATTTGGGGTAGTAAAGGGCTAAATACACCTATTAGGTAGCATTGCTAGATCCAAAGCAACAGGAATCTAAGAACTAGAAATAATTGCTCAGGTCTTCTATTATCTGGGTGGCTTTAATAATAAATGTTATCTGAATCAAGAATTGCAGTATCATTTATAATGTTGCATAAGTTTTTTTGTTATAGTTTATTAATTATTTTGTGTCTATCTAAATGTCTAAAGCATCTACATTTTAGTAGAGTGTATTTATATATGTATATATATATATGTATGCATATATGTTCAGTTACAATTCTTCATATATTAGCTAGCCTAGAACTTAAGAAGTCGTAGTGTGAGTAGTGTGAATGATCCATATTTGTACTTTAAAAAGTACACTCAGGTTCTATCTATGCACACTGTATTCCTTGCAGGAGAAGGAGAGAGAGAAAGGGGCAGCGGCAGGTGGGGTGGGGTGGGGTGGGATTCAAGCCACTTGAAAGAACTAGTATTTTTCATTTCATGTTTTCTCTTTTAGCAATGACAATACATGTTTATCATTTGTTTATTATGTTCAATGAAGAAGGAAAGGATCTAAAAGCTAAGTTTGTAAGTGCTTAGAACCATTGTGTAAATATATATAAATGTGTGCATAATGTAAAAACATTTTATTCTTATATTGTCTTATAAATAGTATCTACTGTAATGAAGTTACACCTCATTTGCTAACAAAACCATGTTCAGTCATAAGAAAATGGGCATTCTGGTTATCTGAAAGAATAAAGGGGTTTTTAGTTAAGCTTGGTCAGAAAAACAAACATTTAAGAAAATTTTACTTCTTTATAATGAATTCAGCTTAATGTTGGCCCTTTTGTTAGAACATTTCCTGAACAAAATGCTTTTTTAGCTTCTGCAACCTGGGACACCTTGGAGGGATCTAGAGGAAAAGGTAAGAGAATACACCCCCAGCAAGATGAACAAAATTATGTCCAGATGACTCAGTTATGTATCTCAGTTGTGGGTAACTATAGAATAGCAAGAAAAGTTTCATTATTTTGACTCAATTACTCTCTAAATTCTCTTGTTAACTTTGTGGTGCAATAGAATTCTTAAAGTTAATCCTTTGTCATGCAATAGAATTTTTTCCTATAGAAGCCAGAAATGGCCCAAATATTCTGATAACATTTCCATAGAGGCAAAAATATTTTAAAGGTGGATTTCTAGAGTTTCTATTAACAGTTCCTTATATCTTAATAGTACCTGAACTGATATCTACTGGTGTGCTATTGAATTTTCCCCCATCTATTTTTAGATCTCCATTTGCTTTAGAGATGGATTTAATATGTAAAGCAGAGGCTTACACTGTGAAACATTTGCATGATTGCATTTTGGTTTCCCATCAGCTAAGTAGGGCAAAGTTGATCCCATCTCACAAGGAACTTTATTCCACATTTCCTCTATTGACTTGGAGGTTCAGCTTTGCTTACCTGCTTCCTTGAAGATACTGTGCTGTTGAAACATCTGTTAGAGGTATTTAAATTCAAATTCTTGTTCTGATGGGTTAAGTCATTTTTCCATGTCTTAGAGTTTTCTTTAGGGTCAGAAGGAATGGGATTTAAGAATAGGATTCTTGCAATGAATCCATAGAGGACAGTGGCCAGGATCATTGGCACCACATAAAAGACACCAAAGTCCATTAGGTAAATAGGTGAGTAGTAATTCCTGGAGATCTTGTAGCCACAGGACACCACAATAGCATCTTTGTAGGTGCTAATGTTGAGATCCAGCAAGAAAAACCAGAGCATGCAGTAGATGGAGGTGAAAGCCCAGACAAAGATGATGATCTTTTTGGCTCTGGAAAATGTGCAGAGAAACTGGGCTTTGATGGGGTGACAGATTGCTATGTACCTTTCAATGGTAAAAGCTGTGATCGAGCAGGAGGATGCATTAATTCCCAAGTACTGGAGGTAAGTAATGCAGAGGCATCCGACGTAGCCATAGACCCAGGAACCATAGATACTGTCTGTTATGTTGGGGAGGCCGGCAGCCACCAGGACCATGAGATCGGCCACTGCCAGACTCACGAGATAGCAGTTTGTGGGGGTCCTCATGTGCTTGGTTCTCATGACCACCAAGACCACCATGATGTTTCCCACGATGCCCAGACCACAAATAATGAGCACAAGTAAGATGGTGACCACTTGGTATTCTAGGGCCACCACGGCTTGTGGTTGAAGCTGGGTTTGGTTCAGTTCACTTACTGTTTCATTCTCCATCTTCCGTGGCTTGAAGTTTCTCTGAGGCACTTCTTAAAACATCTTTCAGCGTCCACCTTTATGGCAGTGGTTCTAGCCCCTGTGAAAGGTTATGTACATGTTCATTCACAGGCAACTCTCTCTCCCTCTCCTTTCACCTTGTTTTCCCACAGTCACAGGGTTCCTAKGCACTTTGGAAAACTTCTTTTATTGCAACTAGTGTAGGATCAGTTTCCTCTTCATCAAGGAAAATGCTTAAGAAAAAGGAAACAGAGAAAGCCCCCTGTTTTGAAATAGTGCCCAAGAGAAAAACTAAACAATATATGCTAGCTAAAAATAAATACAAAGAAACCTCRCACATCCTTGGGAAAACTATAATAAAGAAGAAAGGGTAAGGGGTGTGTGAAGGCAAGAAGCTCCAGGGTCAAGCTCGGTAGGAATTTAGCTGTGGCCTCCCTTGCTCTCAGAGGTTAAGATCTTTTTGGTATACAACAGTAAGGCTTCAAAACTACAATTTCCCATGTCCCCCGTCCCCCACACTCAACAGAGAATAATTTCTTTTCTTACCTTTTCCTCTCTCGCACTGCCTGCTTTTCCGGGTAGATGAAGTGGTAATAGGTCCAAGTTTCTAATCCTGCAGAAAATCTCCTCTACACTGACAGGGAGACCACTTAGCAGCGTTCAGCCTTCAGAGCTGCAGTTCCTCGCAACCCTCGCAGCCCTTTTCAACTCATGACAGACCATGCAGACGCAGCAGCAGCAGAAGCAGCAGTAGGAGCAGCAGCCAGGCTGTCAAATCATAGATCGTCCCCTAATGAGAGCTCACACGCGCTCTGGCTCAAACACACATATGAGCACGCACGCACACGCGCGCGCGCGCACACACACACACACACACACACACACACACACACACTCTCACTTGTGCCTGTCAGTTCTGGCTGATTTATAATCTTCTCCTCTTGAAGGATTTACTTTTAAGTGTGTTGCTAATACAGTTCTCAATGGGAAAGGCTGAAATCACAGGCAAGGGGTCCGGAAGCAGCTTGTCTTGTAGTTGCTGATCCTCTAAGTTCTGCAGAAACTCCAGTACCTGAGCTGCCCTGAAATATCATTCCCATTCCTTGCCTGACAGGATTTTGGGGGGGGTGGGTAGCAAAACCTGTTCAGTCTAGACACAGCCCTTGAAGCTTGAAATATCTGTCTGCACCAAAATCAGCTTTTTTCTCTACTATAGAAACTCTGAGAATGTTTCTCCATGGAATCAGTAAAATCAGCTCTCTCTTCTAATATTGTATGAATGGAAAATGAGTTAAAATTGATTTCAAACCATTCCCACTGTAATCTTCTGAGGATTATAAAATTATAATTWAAAAAAATGATTCAAGCTAAAAGCATCGATTGAAACCTGCACATGATGTGTTGAGTTTGGCTTTCAGCTCTGGCTCTGGGTGCCTTTCCCCTTTCTTCGATCCTCAGGACTACCAAGCACATGAATACCTGGCCATGGTTTGTCTTGATTTAATTCTGGGTGGAAAATCCTCTAATAGAATTCCAGCCCAGTGTCACTCTGTTACCACATGTCTGAAATGGAACTTTATAGATCCGTTTTTTAAAGAATAGTGTAATTTGGCTGTATTTTTATTTATCTAAAGTAACCCATGGGCAAATCTGTACCTTTTCATGAAGCACAGAAAACATGTCTTTTTTCTTCAGACACCAATGAATGCACCAAATATTAATGTTCATTTACTTTTATCTTAACTTACAATGAAAATATCCCTTAGCAAGATTTCCTGTGTGGTGAACTGATTATTTTTTAAAAAGTTCAGATGCTCTTCCCTCTAGAAGATGTCAGTAGAAGAGTCCATTTTGAGTAGACAGGACTCTAACAATATAAAAAAAAAATCTCAAGTCAGATAGTAAAGAGAGAGGGTGACGTTCTGGATCATATCAAGTGACTCCTACCCTTTGAACTACACAGTAATCCTTGGGTACCCATGTCTCCTTCCATATTATCTGTAGGTATAAATTAATGACCCATAAGTCACATTCAGACATGTAATGTTTGGCCTGCACAAGACAGGCTCAATATGATTTAAAATAATTGGATCATTTTTTACCTTTTAAAAATTGGGATAGAAATTGAATACTGAATTAGAATTTTTCTCATAAAATTGAAAGGTCTAGCCTTCATGGGTCCTCATTCCTGCTTAGAAACAGTCACCTGAGGCTGAGTAGTGGCTGAGGGTCTGAGATTGTAGGGGTCTTTGTAGAAGACAGAATGTGTCCTCTCCTGTCTTCTTYACACCAAGCCACCTCCCTCTTATCTGCCATACATGCTAGCTTCAGGCTGACATGCATACCAAGCCCCTGTTGCCACTGGAGCATGGCCCCTGTATCATACCCACGTTTCTGAGAGAATCAAGGGAGAATACTAGCCAAATGCAAATTCTTTTATTCTAAGTAGAACTTTTCCTGACTTTCTGTGACTGGAGATGGATACCCCTTTACCATTCCCCATGGCCTAGAGGACAGAGGTTACTCCGAATAGTTGCTTCTTGCCTAATTCTCTGCTAGTCGGAATAAAAAAAAATACTTCCTACAATAAAGGCATCACCTCCCTACTTCCCCTGGACCCTACTGCCTCCAACTCACAATATCCTTTGAAAGTCCTACTTGATAAATCATATCTTCCCTTCTCATTCTCCCAGTGATTTTAATCAACCCTCAGCCACCTAAGTAGTATGGTCTGATTTCTACACTACATATCATTAAAAAAGATGAGCAGAGTGAACATCTACAGTGCTGTTTGCCTTTTCAATTCCACTCCTACTTCAAATCTTCTTTATTAATCTTTTCAGCACTTTTATTCTGTTTTAATATTATGGATATCTATTCTTTTAATGCACAGTAGTTAAGCTCCTACTATGCACTTTAATGTCCAGGCACTAGGACATAAAATTTCATTTTTATCTTCAGATAAATCATGAATGTTGAGAGAAGCAGAACTAAAATCATGCTCAGAGGGTTTGGTTATGAAGGGAAGGCCCATATCAGGGGTGAAGACAGTGAACTAAGGGACAGGGAGGGTTCCCAAGCAAGGTAACACCTGAAGGACAGTCTTGAAGGAAAGCATAGCTCTTCTGATATGTGGGGAGGGTGAAAAGACRTTCTGGCTAGAGGTGACAGGTTGTACAAGTCTCAGCTGTGGAAAAAGGCAAGGATTTGGGGATTGCAGGGGTGATTTTATGATTCTACTTTGGCAGTGCAGAGTTGTAACAATGTGATGAGAGTCACTGATGACACCCAGGCCAGGTATCTAGTCTCTCCTGTGCTAAGGTGACTGACACTGACCTTGGCTCCTCCTCCTCCTTCTTTTCTTGTGCTTTCCACTCTGGACAGGTCACATTTCTGATTTTACCTTCCCAGACTTGCCAGTTTATTATGGTCCAACTTCATGAACTTTGCAAAATTATATTTTCTAAGTAATTAGGATTCCTATGGTAAGTTTTTGTTTGTGAACCTCCATTAGAAAATATCTAATATATATTCCCTATATTCAATGAAGCACACCAAAATAGGGTACAATTTGAATGAACTTTACATTTGAGTTGAGATTCTTTTCCCTCACAATAATATCTTAAATTTTAGCCAACTATGGTCTCTGTCTTTTAGTATTTCTGACTAGATTAAATGCCTCTTTGGGAAAAAAAAAAGGTCATGGGGTATCTGTTTTGAAAAAAAGCAGGTAAGTCGCACCTAGAACTATATATAGGTGGCAAATCACAACATTGCCTATACTTTTCAAGTCCACTTTCTAAGGCCTGTGGTCTCTGACCTTGCACCTTTGCATAGGCCTTCTTGACTACATACCCCTAGGCTGGCATTGAGAAGAGCATCAGATTTCACAGGCTCCCCTGTAAGAATGTCTTTGGATGCCCATCCAGGACATCCCCTTTCTCCACCACCACTCCTCCCCAGGRGTCTGGCCCTGGACTTTTCCCTTGAGCTTCAGGAAAGATTTAGTACTTTTTACCCACCTTTTCATTATAATTAGATAACTTGCTCATGGTGTCCAGTTTTCCCTTTTCTGGTTACCCCAAGAAAACATCCATTTAGCCAAATCTCTATTCCTGAGACACACTGGTTGACATGATACCACATCTTCTGGGAAGTCCTGTCTCTACAACAGCAATTCAGAAAAGCATTGTCTTTATCTCTGGATGTGGTTTTAGCTAGCTATCTAGGGTTATCTCTGGTCATCACAAATCTATTAACAAATAAATGATTACTTGCATTTATATTAGTCAGCTTTTTGTTGCTGTTACAAAATACCTGAGAAAAACAACTTATAGGAAAAAGAATTTATTTTGGCTCACAGTTTCAGAGGTTTCAGTCCATTGTCAGTTCCTGACTCCATTGGTTCCAGGTAAAAGGGCAAGAGAGAGCAAAGTTGTTTACCTCATCGTGGTTAGGGGGCAAAAAGGAAAGGGTCAGGAGCAAAATATACCCTTGTAGAGCACACCCCTGGTGACCTACTTCCTCTGACTAGGCCCCACCTACTCAAGTTTCCATTCTATCACCTTCCTCTAGCTGGTTGACTTCTGAATCCATTGATGGATTAATCCATTGATGAAATCGGGTCCCTTATAAGCCAATCACTCTCTAAAAGCCCCACCTCTGAATATTGCTGCATTGGGAACCAAACCTTCAACACATGAGCCCTTGGGGGACATTCCAGATCCAAATTATAACAATACTATCAGCATTTCTCACACTTTGGTCTGCATCTGTTTGAATCACCTGGAGGGCTTATTAAAATCCAGACACCTGCCACTACCCCCAGTTGTATGCTTCTGTAGATCAAAAATGGAGCTAGAGTGTAAGTACTTTTTATAAATTCCCAGGTGATATTTGATGCTGTCGGACTACACTTTGAGTAGAAGTGTACTTACTGATATAGCTCAGTGGTTCTGATAGGGTTTGGGGAGCAATGATCAATCGGAATCTCTTAGAGAAGTTTTAAAAATACATATATCAGCCTAGTCTGCCTACATATTTTGTGTATAGGTGTATTTTCTAGGATCAGAGCCTGAGAAAGAGACAGGGATTTTGGGCAAAAGCAATTGACTTGATCTTCTATCACTCTCTGTCTTGTACTGTCATGATTGGCTTGGCTTGACAGGTGGGAGATTTTCAGAAAACAAAATATTAATTACATTCAAGCAGCCCCAGGATCAGGAAATCTGCTGATAATAAAACATCTGGCTTAGTCATTGGTTTGATTGACACAGACCAGTACAAGGAGAGGACAAAATTTAAGAGGATGTCAAAAACCTCAGTAATCAAGATGATTAATATTTTGTTGAAAAAAATTTAAAGTATCAAATTTAGTGTAAAAGTGTCTATGATGAATAAATCATCAAAATTTTAAATAAAGATAGACTCGGTATTATAAATTTTCCCTTTTGCCACAGGCTCTAAGTACTGGTCCTTTACTTAACATTTATATATTTTGTTTACTATGGATTATTCTGTATTAATTTTGTTTTTAAAAAATATTGCATTAAAACATTACCCTTACCACTGAATCTTTTTAGAGACCCTTGTATTTTTGTATCACTTA